GAACAAGGGAAAAAGTAACAAGTAACAACAGCCTTTAGAGAGGGGGAATGAAGCAATGTTTGCCTGGACTGGGAAGACTGAATAGTCCCAAAGAAAAACAAGTTAGCTAAACCGGTATTCAGACGGCTTAAGTTTAGCTTAGGCTGTGCCAACACCAGAAACAGCTCAAAGAGAAGGAACTGCTCTGGACTCAACGCTGGCCACCACTGCTAACTGGGCATGCCATGGTTCTTGGGACATGCAGTGTACAACATGCATGTTGTACCCACCCAGTGGTTCACTGATGACAGGAGTTACTTTTTCTGGATCAAAACCCAACCAGAAAAAAAAAAGCCAGTCTTCTACTGGAGGAAGAATACCAAGCTGAACATCACGCTGGGACAGACTCCCTGTGCCACCCTGTAACCTTTGACATGGTCAGCATGTCACACAAAAGCAAAGCTGATCTTGAGGCACACAAGAGCCATTCATAGATATCACAGGCACACAACACAGCATCACTTCAAACTCTTTTTACTGGTTAAATGTATTTGCCCAGCAGACTTTTATGACAAGTCAAGTAGTTCTCTGCTTCCCACAACTGGCAAAAAACCCCACTCCACTGCATGTCCTGGTTAATCTGATCATACTGCCCCACCATCTGGCAGTACAAAGACATGGTTTTGATAGACAAAGCCCCCCCACAGGCACACAGCCTCATGCTTCCAGACTTGAATTTTGCCTCTGGATTTTAAACAGCCAATGGTGTATGAGAGATGAAGATTTTTCCTTACTGGACACAAACTTTCTACAATATAAAACCTGTGAGTCTGAACCTCAATAAAATTACCCCTCTGGAATTACAGGTCAATAGATGAAGATATTTTCAGCCATGTAAAGTTTGACAAGATTTATACAGAGAGCTTCCTTGTAGAAATAACTCTTTTTCTAAGGTCTCTACCCATCATTCACTGTATCTATAAACCAACACTGGACAGGCACCTTTTTTTAATTAAAAAAAAAAAAAAAAAAATCGAACAAACATATGCTACAGAAATTAAGGGGAAACTAAAAATCTACCTGATTACATTTGAAGATTAGAGCGGGTACAGAGAGGATGCAGAAAGCAGCAGAAGAAAAGACACTGGACTCCCTATGGGAGGCTGGAGGCCAGGACACGAAGAACAAGAGGTGGGTAGGGACAGAGAGCGAGCTGGAAACAAGGGTGAATACAGATAACATTGCAAGCAACATCTGGAGTGCCCAGAGGTGGAGAAGGAGGAACTGAATTTTCATAATGAGCAAAAGAAATACAGAGTCTGCAAGTCTTACTTTTTCTCATCTTATTCAAAGAACTACATAATAAGTCATTATACGTAATCACAGCAGCATCTGATTTTTATTTATATATATTATATGCACATGAACAGACTCGGTGAAAGTAGTTACTAAACACTGATACAACCAATCTTCCTCTTGTGACACTGAGTGTTAAGCCATCTGCTTGTTCAGTGTGGCCCTCATGATATAATTAATTCCCCTCCTACCTTCTGCAGCTTCTTTCCTTCCCCCATAATTTGTACAGTGCTTTGGGGTTTAATATGTTACAGTCTCTAATGACAACAGCTGTACATCTGTGAATCTTGAAGGGAAGCTGATTCCAGCAGAAAATTAAAGGTTGAACTCTTACCAGTAACTCTGGGCATTCTTAACTAATACTAAGGCACATAACATAGCCTAATTAGCCCAACAGGTCCTTTAAAATAAAATCCACATGACCTCACTGTCAGTTCTTACTCTGAGTCATTTTGCAGACCAGTTGAAACAGAGCCCTGCATAATCCTCTAACAGCACGCTGCGATGACTGAAGCGGACTGGATCCTAACTATAATAACCAGGTAACCTGCACCCTCTCTGCTCTTTTTTTTTCCCCCCCCTCCTGTTTTTAAGACAAGACACAATCTAGTGGCCTTCTGCAAGTATGCAGTCTTACCTACACGGTCACCTGCATTTCACAGACCTACTTTGTTTGCATGCAGATTAGTTATAACACCCACTATATATGTACACGGAATGCTCTACTGCTAATGAAAATTATTTTGCATGCAAACACAAAAAGCAGGTGGCCAAGCTACTAACTATCCAATTCAGAAGCACAAACTTAGTGTTCTCAAGCTTTTACATGCATATCAATTTGAAAGCAGTGAAACATAACTCTGAAAGTCCTGTTAAAACACCCTTAAAAAACATGACTCAAATCTTAAGTGACTTCCTGACTCACTAAAAAGTTAAGTTAAATTTCCATCTATTTTCCAGGTAGCTTTTAATTCTGTGTTTCACTCCGAAATCACGGTCACGTAACTTTGCTAAAGCTATGCCTTTCCGTCATAACTTTTTCTGCATAGCAATGTCAGTCTGGAGTGTAAAAACCTCCATCCACCATATCTGCATCACCCAGTTAATTTCCTTAGCAAAACTGCAGTATTACCAGCTCAGTGTGTTTTCATCAAGAGAGTAGATAGTTTTATCACATCTGTGCCAAAGTCACTACGTCCACAAAAAAAAAATGCTTTTCTGGGTTTGCATCCCTCTAAAGTATCTCTTGTGGAGATGTGAAAATGCAATTTCACTATAAAAATAAATACAGTGGAGTTAATAATTTCTTGC